GCATGGCTGAGATCAGGGCAGGCTGTAAGTCTGCTGCCGCTACGGGCCACCCACCTGTGCACGTGCACTTGGCAGAGGTGCAACCTGGCACTGGGGTTCACACGTCTCCTCCCCAAGATGCGCGTCTGTCCCGGGTGAGTCGGGCAAAGCCGCTGGGGCAGGAGCAGCAGCCAGGGTTGATGGCTGATGCAGGCGGCCTCCGGCCCGGCCACGTTCTGGTACACCAGTGCCCGGCAGGCAGGCTGGGGGCAGGGCAGGTTTGGGGAGCGGTGCCGGGGCAGCGGGGCTCTGTGCAGCCGGGCACAGTGGGCTGCGGCTCCTCCACAGCCAGGATGGGTGCTTCGCTCAGGCTTTTTCCCATCTGCTCTCTCACAGACCCACCGGCAAAGCCCTTCAACCTCAGCTGTGTCCTGAACCTCAGCGACTACGGGCTGACGTGCCAGTGGGAGCAGGGAGACAACAGCCACCTCCCCACCAGCGTCGTGCTGAAGTGTGCCGGGTAAGCCTTGGGGGGTGATGGTCCCCGGTGCCTGGCCCCTAGCCACCTCTCCTGGCCCTCGCCCTCTGCCAAACCACATGGGAAGCCTTGTCCTCTGCTGAAGGGTCCCCCCGAGCCCACCCCTCTCGCTGCTGCAGGAGCAGAGCCCAGGCGGTGACGTGCTGCACCCCACAAGGCAACCACAGCCGCTGCACGGTGCCACGCCGGCTGCTCCAGCTCTACCGGAAAATGGAGATATGGGTGTCTGCTGCCAACGCGCTGGGCACAGCTGAGTCAGAGCATCTCTGCATCGACCCCATGGACGTTGGTGAGTGATGGCCGGAGCCGCCTGCCTTGTGCAGAGGTCATGGTCCACGGAAGCTCATCAGCGGTGAGAGAGGGGTATTAAAGCACGTCGGGCTTTTAGGCGATATTTTACGGGCAGGTTCCCATGATAAATGTCTTGCCGGGATGAGTAGGTGCCAAAGCCGCATTACAGACTGAGCAACATGTGCCAGCGGGTTATGAGCTGCCGGTTGACCTGCTGCACTCTACAACTCTCTCCAGCAATTGATTACCCATTTATTCAGGAAGTCTATTAATAATATATCCAGCTCCTATAAACTATAAAAGGAACCTTCCCAGATGGCATGACTCGTCCTCCCTGCTCTGCACCCAGGGACAGGCTGCCCACAAACCAGCTGAGCCCTCCCACAGCCGTGCTGGGCTCTCACCCCCTGGTAGACCCAAACGTGCGGCTTTCCTGGCCATGTACCAGACCCCAGGTCCCGTGGGAGTTTTTCCTGTGTAGGCACTAACCCCGCCTGGAGCCCGGGCTGCAGAGCAGTGCCACTGCTGTGCTCCCGAGCATCACGCTGTGTTCCGCGCAGGGGCACGCACCGGCCCCTGCCCTGCCCTCGCCTCAGGGTCTGGGCATGCCAGCGTCCCGGCTGCAGCTCATGGCATTAACAACGGCCCCATGTGAGGCTGTGGCTCCGCACACCGCGGCACCTTTCCAGCTCTCTCCCTGGCTCTTCCTCCAGCCAAGCTGGACCCCCCGGTCCTGCAGAGCATCCAGTCCATCCCCTTCCAGACCGACTGCATCGCCCTGGCCTGGGAGGTGGCCCACAGCAACGCACACATGGACCTGCAGTGTGAGCTGCGCTACCAGGCGCCCGAGGACCCTGCCTGGTCTCTGGTGAGTGATGCTGGGGCAGCGGGACCTGGGAGGGTAAGCAAGCAGGAACCGGGACCCTCCACTCCGAGCTCTGCCAGGTTTCCTGCAATGGGAATGGCGGGGTGCCCGTGTGGGAGGGGGACGTCAAGGTGCCCCCTCGCACGCCCTGTGCAGCACCCACACTGGGGACGGACCCTGCGCTGGCTGCACCCCCACAGCTGGCCCCTGCTGGAGGCAGGGGCCAGCACAGC